CTAAGAAGTTGACAGATTCTCTGAAAACACTGACTTTTAAAATGCAAAGTTCCAATATATGAGGAACTCAATATCAAAAACATATAACAAGCATATGATTTTTAGTGTGAAAAAACATATGATTTTCCACACTAAAATTCACTGCTCGAACAATCTACAAGGGGGAAAAAGGTGTACAATATAGGTTTATGGTGATTAAAACGGAAACTTGACTCGATTCCTAGCTTCTAGCTCAAGTAGTGAAAGTGAATTTTAGTGTGGAAAAAAAAACAACTTTTGGTCAACTCTCTGCTAGTTAATTTAAATTTTTTAAAGCTGGCAGAATAGGTAATGTGGTATGTAGATAAAGACTGCATATGATTTTGACTTTTACTAAAATTTATAAATGCTGGTAATTATTTAGTGAAATTTTAGATAGCTCCCTAAGAAGTTTAAGATGCAAGTTCCAATATATGAGGAACTAAATATCAGAAACACATAACAAGCTATATAACTTCTCCCAATATATAGCTTAATTCATAGAAAAAAAAAACGAACAGAAAAAATACGAGACCTGTGCTCGACCCTTTCTTGTTGCTATATGCAAAGCTGTATTCCCTTTTCCATCGGACATCATAAGCAAACCATTATCCGAAGAAATAAGCTCATCAACAACTTTAGCACAATTTCCCTTTACAGCCATGTGAAGGGCAGTTTGACCCTTTTTATCACTCCACGTCACAATTCCCGGTTCTTTGCTAAGAAGGGCTTTGACCACTTCAAGATGCCCGTTTCTTGCAGACGAGTGAAGAGCGGTTTTGCCGTTATTTCTTGATATTGTGGCCATGCTGCTGTTTTTTTCCAAGAGATATTTGACGATCTCAAGATGGCCTTGAGATGAAGCTGTGTGTAATGGTGTCGTGTTTGATTGATCGACAGTGGCTAATAATTGGGGAATGGACTCCATTAAGACCTTCAATACCTCTGAAATTATTACATATATATTTTACAAAAAATAAATAAATAAATAAATTCCTTACTTTTAAGAAGGTATAAGCATAACATATGAAATGAAAATCGAGCATGATTCTTCAAATTTTGGAACAATGGAGTAATAGTCGGCTTTCCATGACATAATCGGAAGCTTAAATCTCATTTTAGTGTTTTCCAAATAGTAACTTCTAATTCTGCATAATTTCAATCAAACAGAGTTTGGACATTTTACCAATTTTCACTTGGCTTTTCATACATGAACAAAACAAACAACATTTCCATAGAGAGTATTTAAACTTTCAAGACATTATGAACAGGAGTGATTCTTAGGTTTCTAGATGGAAAAATGCAATCATGCAAGAAGGTGATGCTTGATCTTTTTAATTTTTATTGGATTGTCTGCAAACAAACAATAAATCGTGACTTCACAATTGAGTAATATTCACTTTAAAAATTATAACTCACTTCAACTAGAAGAAGGCAAAAGTAATAAACTTTTTTGCAAACCACTGCTTAATAAATATTCAGGAGATCCAAATGACTCTAAAAAACACCAGAAAACATGAATAAAGTGAAAAACAAATGAAATCATGCAAGAAGGTGACGATTGATCTTTTTATATGGACCGTCTGCAAACAAACACTAATTCGTGACTTCACAATCGATTAATATCTGCTTTTATTAGAAATTATAACTCACTTCAACTAGAAAAAGGCAAAAGTAATAAACTTTTTTGCAAACGACTGCTTAATAAATATTCAGGAGATTCAAATGACTCTAAAAAACACCAGAAAACATGAATAAAGTAAAAAAAAAAAAAGAATGAAATCATGCAAGAAGGTGATGATTGATCTTTTTATTTGGACTATCTGCAAACACGGCGTGATTGTATATAATTTCTACAGTAAATATCCCACTCAAAACTCAAATTTAACTCAACTTTAACTCAACTCCACTATCTCCAATATTATCAATATAATTAAATAATATCAACTAATTATTATTAGACACCACATCAACTTTAATTCACTATTCACTCACTCACATAATTTTAACTAACCATCACTTCCAATCATTTTCTCTTATTTTTACATCAAATCAACTTTAATTATTTTAATTTAAATATTATTTTAATATATCCACTAACAACTAACCATACTACTTTTTTTCAAACTTAACTATAGTGAAGAAAAAACTAGTTTTTTACTAGTTGAATTCATATCCAATCACCCCCTAATTCATAACTTCAGAATTGACTAATATTCGCATTTAAAAATTATAACTCACTTCAACTAGAAGAAGGCAAAAGTAATAATTATTTGCAAACCACAGCTTAATAAATATTCAGGAGAAGATTCAAATGACTCTAAAAAACACCAGAAAACATGAATAAAGTAGAAAAACGAATGAAATCATTACCCAATTCCCCGAGCTTGGCAGCAATATGAAATGCATCAAAACCATTCTTTGCCTTGATTGCAGCCGAGCCCACATCATAATTTTTCACGAGGGCCTTAACAACATCAACATGACCACATTCGGCCGCCACATAAAGTGCAGTTTCGCCTGATGAATTTTGTTTAGACAATAGTTCACTTAAATCCTCTTCCCCTTTTTCTTCAATAATCTCCAAAACTACTTCCAAATTCCCAGCTCTTGCAGCTGAGTGTAAAGCTGTATCGTCTCTTTTACCAGTTAATTGCTTCTTTATCTGCTTAACAGAAACCTCCATGACCCCCCTTTTGCCTTCTATCACTAGTTTTTGCCCTTTTTTTTTTTTTCAAAAAGCTGGAAACCCAGAAAAAAATTTCACCAGCAGCACCAAAAAGCTATCATCTTGGACAAAAATCGAGCAAATTAAGAAAAACCCCGATCATAAATCATCGACTGGACCAAGAAAGATCATTATCTTGAATAAAATTCACACGTGGATGCTACGAGGAAAAAAAATGTTTATCTGGTTTTCTTGGGTTTCTAACCCAATCTGCACTTGGATATGTGTGAAATTCTGTTCACACAAACATATTCCACACAACTATTGCTCCTTATAGTCAACTTTCATCAATCATTTCCTGCGAGAAAACCAAAGAAATACGTATCTGCAGATTTTTCAGCAGAAAAAAACAAGGAAAAAACAAAAAAATAAGAGAGAAAGGTCAAATTAACCCAACTTTTGTAAGTTAATCCATTAATAGAGGAGTCGTTTTTTTCCCCTAAAACTGCTAAAGGTTCGATTTTTATGAACTTTTCTAGCCGAAATAAAAATAAAATCATCGTTTTTCTTCTAGATTTTCGCAAACACAGTGCAGACATCAGTCATGGTGATGAAAACAGATGAATAAATTTACAGTCAATAAAGGCTACAACTAAAAGGCAAAAAATTTGGAGGAAAAAATTACCCGAAATTTCATCGACCCAGTTAAGATCGAAAAATATTCAGTATTCTGCAGCTTGAGAGAATCATTCAGAAGAAAGACAGGTGAAGTGTAGTAGTGCAACAGATTGAGTGGCTAACTAAAGCAACACATGGGTAGATACTCGTTTGTATTTTCTTTTGTTGGGACAAATTATTATTATTATTATTATTATTATTATTATGAAGAGTGTAGTAGTGCAACAGATTGAGTGGCTAACTAAAGCAGCACATGGGTAGATACTCGTTTGTATTTTCTTTTGTTGGGACAAATTATTATTTTTGTTATTATTATTATTATTATTATTATTATTACAATAATATATTTGTGCACATGTCTAATAGTTAGTGAGTCGTAACATGTATATATTCAAATTAAAGTTTTATACTTTAGAACACAATATCAAAAAAATAATATGCCATTTTATTAAAATTGTACGAAGGATCTAATTCATAACAACTTTCGTTTCCTCAGTAAATGTCTTAATAGAAGATATACTTTTTTGTAGAAATTGAGGTTATCATTAATTGAATATTGATTAATATGTAACTGCTATAACACTATTTGAAAATGGATCTTGATGTTGGAACTGTTGCTATCAAAACCATTGCACTTGATGCGATTCTTGGTGGTGTTGCATTTGGATTTAAGAAAATTGAAGCAGAAGAGTTTGATATGCGGTTATATATGTTGAAGTAGTTTAATGGTGCAACCTTCAATATCCAGAAAAGAGCAAAGGCTTTAGAAGTATTTGTTTGAGTTGAGTGAGTAACTCAAGTTGAGGAGAGGAGAAGTGTCATTCGAGCAACCGAATATTTTGTGGCTAGCCAAGGTAGATCACAGTGTTGTTCAATCTTCGTGTTCGACAGGGGGAAACGCCGGGCTATTCTTGTCATGGGGACGTCTCCAACGAGAACAAGTCTGATTCGAGGGCGAATCCTGCTCAACCGAGGGAGAATGATGCGGATAGAATATTATTATTATTGTTATTATTATTATTATTATTATTATTATTAGATATCTTGAAGAATAAGTTATGAATTAAATATTATTATAGGAGATCTTGTCTTGTTGGACAAATTAGGAATAAGATTTAGGAGTCTTATTTAGTTAAATATAAAATAAGAAAATGATTGAGTTTATCATGTTTTGTTATTCTTGAAATTGTGATCTCATTAATATAGTCTCATTTCTACACTTGTTTCCTGCATCACATCTTCTATTTAAAAACGAAATCTTCCAAATGTTTCAAAAAATTATTACACCAATTGGACCGCTGTTATCTATATGCACCGGGATCCCAATTCACGGATCTCTCAGTTAACTGATTGTTGCAAGGATTGCTTCTATTGGTCATGGGTTTGGATATCTAAATGAGAATTTCTTGTTCTCGAACTGATGACTCACTTTTTCTGAATAATGGGTAATAATAATACTCCTATCAGTTAGCTGGATACTCGAACTCATGACTTACTTTTTCCAAATAATGAGTAATTTTGCTGAATAAAATTAGAATTTGTGTTATTATTATTCTTGGAATAAAAGACTAACAGTCACTTTTTCTAAAATATTGGGTAATGTTTAGCTGGATAAAATAACAATTTGTGGAATAAAAAAGTAACAACCATATCAAGATGTGGTGTAGATTATTATTATTATTATTATTATTAATATCTTGGAGAATAAGTTAGAAATTAAATATTATTATAAAAAATTTTGTCTTGTTGGACAAGTTAAGAATAAGGTTTAGGAGCAAGGACACTCTATCTATTGTTTTAGTTGAGTTGATTATTTAAATGAAATAAGATTAGATATTGTGAGCGTGTTTTACGATAGAGTATCTCGTTCACTCGTTTATCTTTCTCACTCGTACGCTGAGAGTATCTCGTTTACTCGTATATCTTTCCCCCTCGTACGTTTTCCTATATCAAGATGTCATGTTAAAAGGGATTTTAATAATGATTAGTTAATCAAGTAGCATGTGAATGTGAATTATTTTGTTCCTTTTTCTTCAAGTGTGTCTAAAAAGTTTTTTATTTCCATCAGCAACAAATTGCGTATCGATTAAGTAAAGTAGGGGGCAAGGTGACTCATTGAGTGATTTATCAGTTTATCACACGTATAAAGTTGAAGTACGAATATCGTTTGATGGATAAATAGTTTTTTATTTTTTAAAAGCTAGTGATATCTCCCGGGAGATTTGTAACTGTTTCACCAGTCCACTGACCATTCAATAAAAGTGAGTGATGTGGCATCAAAATAAAAAACCCGGCTTTGGACATGTTTAATTAGGGCATTATTATTTACCGCCCCCTTATTACTATGTACCGCTCTTTTTTGCCCCT